GAAATCCAATAAATTCAGCCTTCAAAATATATTTTGAGTTTAGTTTTCTTCGTAGGCACTGCTGCAACCCTGGTTCAAAAGGCATCACCTGGCTGTCCTCCCGCCTCCTCCCTTGATGCCCTGCTTCTCCTCCTAACACCTTCCATCCATCCTCATGTTGCAGCTAAAGTGAATTTAAAATATGAGTCAAATCAATTGCCCCCATACTTACCTTCTCCTTGTTCCTCATTGCATCAAACTCTGTCTTCCTTAAAAGAGGACCAGAAACCCCTCAGTGGGTCTCAACTGGCCTCAGCTGGTTCCTTTGGTCTCATCTTATGCTCCATCCACTTCCGTGAAAATGGCCATCTGTCCTGCCTTGAGGGCTTTGCTCATACTGCTCCTCTCTTTGAAAGCCATTCCCACCCTGAACTAATCCCATGGTTCGATTATTTTCATCCTTCAGGTTGCAACTTCACTGACATGTTCTGACAAATATATATGGTTGTATAACCACCACCAGATAAAAATATAGCATATTCCATCACCTTTCCCAAATTTCCCTCCTACCCCTTAGTGCTCAGTAACCTCCCCTCCTCTTGCCACCACTGATCCTGATCTGAATTCTGCACAATAGTGTTGCCTTCTCCAGAAGGCTATTGTGATGGTTAATTTTTTGTCAGCTCGACTGGGATGCAGGTTGCCCAGGCACGTGGTCAGACATTATCCTGGGTGTTTCTGTGGGGCTGTTTCTGAAAGAGATTAACATTTGAACCTGTCCGCCCAGTAAAGCAGATTGCCCTCCCTCCCGTGGGTGGGTCTCACCCAGCAATTGAAGACCTACATAGAACAAAAAGTCTGAGTGGAAGTCAACTCTTCTTGCTTGTTGAGCTGCAACAGGGTCTTTTCCTACCTTTGTCCTTAAACTGAAACACTGGCTCTTCTTGGATCTCGAGCCTGCCGGCTTTCCGACTGGAAGTCCCATCATTGACTCTTCTGAGTCTCCAGCTTGCTGACTGCAGATTGGGACTTCTCAGGATATATGTGTATATATAACATATATATACACATACATATACATATACATATACACATACGTCTAGGGAGGAGATACATACATTGGTTCCGTTTCTCTGAAGAAGCCTAATACAACTATATAAATGAAATCATACAGTATGAATTTTTTCATGTCTCACCTTTCACTTAGCGTAATGGTTTTCAGATTCATCCGCTATTAGCAGTTAGTTCCATTTTATGGCTGAGGGATAAAAATGTACCACAGTTTATTCCTCTGGACATTTACATTGTTTCCAGCAATTATGAATCACTATAGTTGTTATAAACATCTGTATACAGGCCTTTGTGTGGACATATGTTTCACCTAGGAGTAGGATTGCTGAGTTGAAAGGTAGGTGAAAGTTTACCTTTATAAGAAACTGCCAAACTGGGGCACCTGAGTGGCTCAGTCAGCTAAGGGTCTGCCTTCGCCTCAGGTCAAGATCCAGGAACCCTGGGATCGAGTGCCGCAACGGGCTCCCTGCTGAGCAGGAAGTCTGGTTCTCCCTCTCTTTCTACCCCTCCCCCTGCTCGTGCTCCCTTGCGTGTGTGCGCTCTCTCAAATAAATAAAAATCTTTAAAAAATAAACTGCCAAACTGTTTCCCAAAGTGGCTGAATGATTTTACACTCTCACTAGGAATGTATGAGATTCCAGTCGTTTTACACCTTGACATTGATCTCGTCCAGTTTTAAATTTTAGCCATTATAATAGGTGTAGGGGTATGTCATTGCAGTTTTCATCTGCATTTGCCTAATAGCTGATGATTTTGAGCACCTTTTCATATGTTTATTTATCATCCACAACTTTTACCCATTTTTAAATTGGGTTATGTTTTAGTATTGTGTATAAGAGTTCTTTATGTATTCTAGATACAAGTCCTATGTCACATACGTGTCTTGGAAACACTTTCTCCCAGTTTGTAGCTTATCTGTTGATATTCTTTAAGAGTGTCTTTCAAAAAGTAGGAGGTTTTTTATTTATTTATTTTTTTTAATGATTTTTTTTAAAAGATTTTTATTTATTTATTTATTTGAGAGAGAGAGAATGAGAGATAGAGAGCACGAGAGGGAAGAGGGTCAGAGGGAGAAGCAGACTCCCTGCCGAGCAGGGAGCCTGATGCGGGACTCGGTCCCGGGACTCCAGGATCATGACCTGAGCTGAAGGCAGTCGCTTAACCAACTGAGCCACCCAGGCGCCCAGGAGTTTTTTTATTTTAATGAAGGCCATTTTATCAATTTTTTCTTATGCTTAGGGCTTTTTGTGTTTTATTGAAGAAATCTTTGCCTTCCCCCAATGCCTAGGATTTTCTGGTTTACTTCCACAACCTTTTTAAGTTTTACATTGAGGTCTCTGATTCATTTTGAGGTAATTTTTGTACATGGTGTGAGGTAAGGTTCAAGATTCACTTTTTGCATGTGAATGTCTAAATGTTTCAGTACTATTTGTTGAAAAGACTGTTTCTCCATTGAATTATCTGTCTTGTTCAAAATCAAACATATATGTGTAAATCAATTTTTTTAAGTTTATTTATTTTTAATAATCTCTATATCCAACATGGGACTCGAATTCACAGCCCCAAGATCAAGAGCTGCATGCTCTTCAGACTGAGCCAGCCAGGTGTCCCAGTGTAGGTCAGTTTGATTCACTATTCTGTTCAAGTGATCCTTATGTCAGTCCTAACACAGTTGCCACAGTCTTGATTACTGTAGCTCTAAACTAAGTCTGGAAATCAGGTAATTTGAATCCTCTAACTTTTCTCTTTTACAAAATTGTTTTGGCTACCTAGATTCTTTGGATTTCCATATACATTTTAGAATCATCTTACACGTTTCTAATGAAAAGCCTGCTAGGATTTTGAATGGGATTACATTGACTATAGATCAATCCAGAGAGAATTGGCATATTAACATCTTGAGTCTTTCATTCTACAAACATGGTATTTGTCTCCGTTTACTCATTTACTTCCTTAATTTCTCTCAGGGTAAGTTATTTGGGATTTCCCAGATATCTTTCTGTTCCTGGGTTTTACTAGTTTAATTGTTAGGGTCAGAGGACAAACTTCATGTGACTTCAAGTGTTGTATGGCCTAGAATATTCTCTCCCTTGGTGAATGTTCTATATACACTTGAAGACAGTGTGCATTACACTGTTGGGCGAATTTCATACCCACCCCACCATAGGAGCAGATCTTTTTGTTATCCATGTAGGATCCTGGGCCCAGGTTTTTCTGTCCCTCCTCCAAGGTTGGAGGCTATTTGTACTTCTTCTCCAGCAGTAATGGTTCTTTGCCTGTGTCCAAAGGCAGAACGTTTCCTACTCCCCAGAGGCAAAAGGATTTTGTCTTTATTCCTCCCCTAGAAATAATAGATTTTTGCCTGCGCCCTGGTAGGGGTGATATGATTTGGTGCACCTCCCTCAGCAGCCTAAATTTTTTACATCCTTCAAGAAAAGGGTCTGGGGAAGGGGCAGGGTTTCCTATCTACCTATACATCAGCAGTAGCCAATTACCTCCTGCATGCCTGAACCACTGACAGGAACTTTCTGGTCCCCTGCTCCGCACCCAGGGTTTCTTATGAGCTCTTGGTGTAGGCCATTGGGAAAGAAGTGTGTGTGTGTGTGTGTGTGTGTAGTCCCCTTATTTGAAACTCTCAGCTATTCCAAATTCTTAAATTCCTTTAGGAATCCTACATTCTAGATTATGTTTAGTTGCTTGTATAGTGGCCACTTGTGTCTTTAGTGTTCTTTCTAAAATGAAACGTGTATGTCCCACCTCCTGTTGGAGGACTTATCACCCTTTGGGATTCAGTTTGCTTTGTCCCCCAACCTCAGTTCTCTGACATGCTCAACAAAAGCTGTAACTTTATAGATTCTCCAGCTTTTTTCCTTGTGAAGTTAGGAGTGACAGTCTCTTGCAGCTTTCTACACCCTGTTCAGAAGCAGAACTCTGACTACCTCTACTAACGGTGATTTTGTTATTTTCCGAAATCGGTATTATTGCCATCATTATACTTATTAAAATTTGTAATTATTTTTACTTTGTCTCCTCCATTAATCTTTAACTCTGTGAAGACATATACTATGGCTCTTCGTTACTGTAATGCCTTCTGCCTAGTGCCGTATTGGACACACAGCACTTAAAACTAAATGGAATGATATTAATGGCAGGTATCTCTATTTTCAAAAACACTGGCTGATTAAAACATCCACAGAAGTAGTGGGAGGGGAGGGCTGAGAAAGAGGAACAAGAGCCCAAAAGCCAAACTGGGGGATTATGTTCTGGACTATCTTTAGATTATCATGATAATCTGCCAGCAGAATCTGGCTATAATGCTGACCAAGTTCAAAACAGAGCACAAATGAAAGAAGTATACCAAACCATTTTTTTAATTAAGCTTCAGGAAAAACGGAAATAAATGAAATAGCAAAACACAGATCAGGAATTCCTTATTGTTTATTCTTTTCTTACAAAAAGACACTTGGAACAAATAAATATAAAATGGCATATGTCTTATTTAGCAATGGGCAAATACAGGTTTTCTGGGTATTCTCCACAGGAATAAACTAAAGGAGCTTCCAGAAGTACACTCATCCTATCAACTTCCCACCCTCTATAAAAAAGGTCAATTCTTTTAATTTCCCACAATTTTTAGCAATAGATTCTGAAAATAAGTCATCTAAACCGACTCAGAGACTAAGACAACTGATTCAAGTTAAGAATATATATAATGATGTTGCCCAGAAACTTCAACTAATGAATATTCTTACAAGTTTTTCATTTCTTATATCTAGTATGAATAGTCTATTCTGTTCAAATCCGCAAGGCAAATAAAATACAACAGAAGGCTGAGCACAATATATACACTTTTCTGTCCTAAGAGAAAACATTAAATACAGGTATATTTAATATACAGCAAACATGCCATGTATTTTCTTAAAGCCAACAAAATCCTGATTTCCTATACCTTGCAGGTGATGTAGCAGAAGGCAAACAAATACCAAAATCACTTGTGACAAAATTTAGCTAATAAAATTAGCTAGACAACAATACAAATTCAATATTCAAAGGATTTATTCATTCCAAGGTTGCATGGAAAATGAAGTAAAAAACATCAGTACAAGTAGAACCACACATAAGAAAAAGCACCTAAAGATGGAGGAAGGACAGCTCTCACATCCTACCTGTGGCTGGCAAACCATGTTCAGGTGTGTCCACAGAGAGAACACCTTCAGTTTCCCAAAACCCTAGGTTATTTAGTTCTGTGTCTGAAATTTTCTCAAAGGCTTCAAAAGCCAATTTAAATTTAGAGGGGAAATATTTTTTTCTTTAATTTGTGGGTAAAGATCATTAAAGTACGACACCAATTTCCTAAAAGGCAACTCACGACTCTCCAGAAGTACGAATAAACATCAAAAAGCCCAAAGTAAAGAGCTGGTACATTAACATGCACGATCAGGAATCCCGTGAAAGTCACAAGGTGCTGTGATTCTGTGATTTACATTAACCTCCTCATGGTAGAAGACAGTGTTTCATGATGGATGCAGATTATGCCCACTGCTCATGAGACATACACACATCACTACTAGTGAGATCCCACTTTGTAATAATTTAGAAATCCAAATTTAACTCCAGAAAATATAAATCTGGAATATGAATTTGAAGATAGACAGTACAAACAGCAGCTGAGTGGAACCTGCCTGCAACAATCCTTTATTTTTTTTCCTTTAAGGCTACAGAAAATCTGCACATAAACAAGGCAATTAATTCTCATAATAAAAATACCCCCTCCAAATAGCTAAGGTCTCCAGTCAGATTCCATGGTGAGTATATGTTGTATCACATTCTATTTCACTAGTGTACTTTCTTGTGAGTCTGCAGGGTCAGGATCAATTCTTTCCGGAAATAGTAGCTTCTCGCAAACTGCCTCCTTTATCGGTAAATACTGTGATATTTCATTAGGTTCCGTGAAGAGGGAAGGTGAAACATGCTGGGAAACACATAAATCATATTAGCACACATTCACTTATCTCATTGGTACCTTTTCGAAATGCTTTGGTTCAAGTATTCATACCGCACACCAATTTTATTCTATTTTTTAAAGAATTATTTATTTATTTCGGGGGGGAGGGGCAGAGAGGGAGAATCTCAAGCAGACTCCATGCTGAGCACAGAGCCCGATGTGGGGCTCGACCTCAGGATCTGAGAGCATGACCTGAGCCGAATCCAAGAGTCAGATGCTTAACCAACTGTGCCATCCAGGAGTCCCAACACACCAATTTTAAAATGAGCTGTAATATATGTATGTGAGGTGCATCATAAGGTGTTTCTAATGGTAACAGGTATCTCTTGTTACCGAATTATGCAGCCCTCTTACTGAATGATTTCCTCAAAACTCACAGGGATATGTTATTTATAATGCTATCACAGATGTATTAAGAATTTAATACATCTTGGGGTGCCTGGGTGGTTCAGTCGGTTAAGCATCCAACTCTTGATCTCAGCTCAGGTCTTGATCTCAAGGTCATGGGTTCAAACCCCATGTTGGGTTCCATACTTAAAGAAAAAAATTTACTGCATCTTAATCTAATCCCCTTTCCCTGTTTTTGTACCTTGAAAGCACTAGCCTTCAGATAGAGCCAGGTTGTGTTCTACAATGGATTCTAAGTAATGTTTCTAACCCACGTATACTCTACACCCACATAGAAATAAGCACTAGGGGTGCCAATCTCTCTAAATCACAGTGATATTTGCAAAAAGGTATCACTTTTGAAGCGACCTATTATAGAATCCTACAGATTTGCAGAAGCCCTTTACAAGTCCCAGGGGAGCAAAAAAGAAAGAAATTAGGCCAAAACAAGGTCTGGTACAAAATTACCACATTTTAAGAAGAAAAAAGTAGACTGGGTAGAAAGAAATTACAGGGTGACGAGGTACTAAGTGAAAAGAACAGTTGCAGACCCACCACCAAATAGCTGTGTTACACACACCTCTGGGTCTGTTTTTCCAGAATAAAAAGTGGAAATTAGATTAGATGATGGCTCTGGTACCTACAACAACTTTAAATGGTTTTGTATTTGAGGTGAGCTCAGAAAAGTCACGCTCCAGTAGGATTTATCTTTTAGAGGCTTATTAGGTGAATCGATAGATTTAGGGATGCAGATTTGGGTAGAAACGTACCAAATGAACATTAGAAGTCAACTTCTAAAAACTGATATTAAAATACTGTACCATTAAATTAGCAATTTTGCTCTCTCGTGATGTATATTCTCGTAACATGTAGGTCTTGTCGGCCTATGTTGAAAAATAAAAAAAGGTTGCAATAAATCTATTTCTATTGTTACAAAATCCTTTCTATTAAATAGCACTGCCTATGACAACAGAACAGGTTACAAAAGCAGCATGAAGTCTGACAAGAGTATCTTATTCTGCAATGAGATAACAAATTCTCACCAAGAATTCTTAAGGCCAATCTCTATAAATCACAATGATATCATATGTAAACAGATTTAATAATTACTGTGTAAGAGAAATACAAGCAAAAGTTTTACTTTGGGTGAAAAAAATGCATATCTGCAAATGATATGTGCAAGAGATTTTAATATTACTTCATGTTTGGAACTACATCTTCTCCTTAAGCTATGTTATCATCTACCTACATAACCATGGCTACTCTCATGTTTAAAAAAAAAAAAAAGCTTAAATTTTATTCTCTCCCATTTCCATAAAATTCTTTTTTTTTTTTTTAAGATTTTATTTATTTATTTGACAGAGAGAGACACAGTGAGAGAGGGAACACAAGCAGGGGGAGTGGGAAAGGGAGAAGCAGGCTCCCCCTGAGCAGGGAGCCCGATGTGGGGCTTGATCCCAGGACCCCGGGATCATGACCTGAGCTGAAGGCAGATGCTTTATGACTGAGCCATCCAGGTGCCCTCCATAAAATCCTTGTCAAATTGCTTATCTAATAAATCATACTTTTAGTACTTTAACTTCTCCCATTTCCAACTTTTTAAAGTTAGGTTTTAGAAAACAATTTATTACAATTTGTTTTTTGGTGAAACATTATTCAATAAAAGAAAAATCACACAAGAATAAACTCCCTTAAGAAGTTTAATCTTTTCTATTAATAAATACAAATTTTAATCTTAAATCAATAAAAACAGATTAATGCTCACTGAAAAAAAAATCAGATAATATAGAAGTATAGAGTGACCACTGCTTCTATAGATATCACTATCCTTAACATTTAGAAATCTCTATACAGGGGCGCTCTCCCACTCCCCCTGCTTGTGTTCCCTCCCTCGCTGTGTCTCTGTCAAACGAATAAATAAAATCTTTAACCAAAAAAAAAAAAAAAAGAAATCTCTATACAAAATCTTATATAGGTTCATACTCACTCTTTAAAATTCAACACTGAGATGCATATCTTTACACATCAGTTCAGTGTAACTCTCTGCCACTCATTTTAATTTTAATGGATGTGTACTTTTCTACTATATGGATGTAAATTAAATAATTCAAATCAGTGCCCCTGCAGTGGGCATTAAGCTCCTTCCTTCTCTTTCTGCGATTATAAACAACAGCATTACTACAGACGTCCATTTATATACATAAATATATATATGTAAATAACTCTGTACAACTGCCTGATTAATATTTGTGGATTACTGTACATGAGAATATTTTTAGGCTAAATTCCTAAGAAATACTGTTGATTTAAAGCATAAGCATTTTTAAAACTTAGATTTCAACTTTTCTGAGGCAGAAAAATGCAGTCTATCTTCAGTACTTTGCTACCACTTTTAAAAAGAAAAAAATCATCGTTTTTCCAGGAAAAAAACCCACCCATCCTTAAGTGCAGGATTTGGGAACCAACTCCATCTTACTGGATTCAAATCCCACTTGCACCACTATTAACTGTAGAACTTGGGCAGAGATAATATAGCACTTATGTCACCGGGTGGTTGTGAGAGTTCAGTTATTACCATTGCCCTACTGATTACTGGCGGTCTCTTCTCTAATTCACCATTCTACACAATCACAAATCAGAGGTTACAAATCCATTCCAAAAGGACAGGCCACTATAAGCTACTAGAGGAATTTCCATGATTCAACTTAAGCCTCCCCCTTTTCCAAACACTTTTTTGAAAACCTTGTATGTCAACAGTTCCTTCAGATGGAGTACAGAGCTTTCAAACTTTAGAACAACTGTCAAAATGATTATGTAATACAAACTTTCAGGAGGCCATGTGATTGGTATGTTTAATATTAAGACATTATATAAACAATACATATGATAAACAAAGCTAAGAGTTAAAGGACAGTTTTCTTAAATACAGATTAAGTATACATGAGGTTTTTTTTAGAAGCATCAGACATCCCCCACTGGGGAGTATCTTTTAGAACACATTTTTAGCTACCAGAACTTTCAGAAAAGATGTCCTGTTTCGTTAACTGTGCAGTCAACAGTGAATGCAGAACACCCAATCTTAAAGGCTAGAAGGACTGCCATAAAATATAAAGCATTATTTCATTTCAAATTCTCAGACAGACAATGAAGCAACATGAACAAGCCCAACATCAACTAGTATATTCATTAAATAAGAATAGATACCTCGTGGTAAAGTCTTGTGTCATTCATTCTGATAAGCACCCCATCGATTCTCAAGAAAAATCGCAACAGCAGGAAAAAGCTAGAAGGCATTACTCTCTGAAAAAAATAGTAAGGTAATATTTTAATGAAAATTAAATATGTTATTACTTTGCTAAAAGAAAGTGATTTTTTTTTTAAATAAATTTTTTTAAACGCATCAGAGGAAGGCTGAATTAGCAGTATACTGAAATCTCTAAACTAGAGGTTCTCTGTCATAGCTTCAACTAAGGCACAATATATTATATTATAATATAAACATCCTGGCTTTGGGCTTCCTACAATAGAAAAATATTTTTCAGGTCAAAAGATATTGAGGTTAAAAAGACTTAAAAAATACCTAAGTAATGTGAAAATTACAATGTTCACTTTAAAAATTGACAGTACTTACAGTAGATGTCAACATCAGTAATACCAAAATGAAAGAATAACCTATTTCTTTGTTGTTACTTGTCTCTTATTCACTTTACCTTAAATAAAGAGAAGAGACCTTATATGGAATGGTTTAATTCAGTGCAACGAATTAAGTACTATCTCATACTGCCAAAGACTGGTTTATCAGATCATTATAACATGTTCTTAACATCTTTCATCTGCGTCACCTACACATTCTCCCTCAGCAGGGAGCCTGCGTCTCCCTCTCCAACTCTCCCTGCTTGTGTTCCCTCTCTCGTTATCTCTGTCAAATAGATGAATAAAATCTTAAAAAAAAAAAAAAAAAAGACACAATCCCGATGGTCAGGAAGTTCATCAAAGAGGGAAACAGAGAAACAGGATGTGGTAGCTATAGTAACGGGGGGATGCACAAAGCACTCAGAGAAAGAAGTATCTAATCTGCTGAAGAGAGTCAGAGAAGGCGGTGGAAAGCTGACCATGGGAAGAAGAGCTGGGGGCGGGGAAGGAGAATTCCAAAAAGAGGAAAGAGCATGTATAAAAAGTTCTGAGACGTGAAATAGCAAGATATATTCAGGGAACTGCCTGCAATTCCATACAAGCACAGAGCAACATTAATGAAGAGTGAAGAAATAACAAGATAACCCATTAATAACAGTGGCTTTACTGCCTAGATTGTCAACAGCCAGGGGCCAAGTTCTCCTTCCTTAGCACCATTTTTTTTTAAGATTTACTTATTTATTTGAGCGGGGGAGGGAGAATCTCAAGCAGACTCCCCACTGAGTGCAGAGTTCGATTTGGGGCTCGATCCCAGGACCCTGAGATCGTGACCTGAGCCAAAATCAAGAGTCAGATGCTTAACTGGCTGAGCCACCCATGTGCCCCCTGCCTTAGGACCTTTACACACCCTGTTGCAGACCTAAAGCTTACTTGTCTTCGGATCTCACTGTAAATGTTACTTCTACAGAGAAGCCTTTCCTACCATTCCATAATCACAGTAGATTTCTCCTGTTATCTTCTCTCCACTCCCTTTATAAGCTAACAGATTTATAACTACATCCATTTATGTGTTTACTTGCTTAAAGCCCATGTCCCTCCACCTGACTGTAGGCTCCATAAGAGTGAGAATGAACAGTGAACAGTGTTTTGTTCATCACTGTGTGTCCCTACTGCCTAGACAGGTAGCTGGCACACAGTGGGAGCTCACTGAAAGAGAGGCTAGCACTATCTTTGCTGGAGAAAAGGCTCACAGTCACACTGCAAACTGATGGGATTATCAGCAACAGACTTAAAAGCAAGACTTAGAATAAAGAAGAGCTTGGAGGAAGAACCTGACCTATGACAACACGCTGTGTCACAGCAAACTGACTGGGAAGCACATCATTACTTGACAGAGTGCTACTTGTAATTACTGAAAAGACTGACTGGCAACATTTTTTCAAATTTCCAAATTAATTATTAACACTCACACTGGGCCCAACACAGGAAGCAATCATTTCAGCATGGCAGAGGGGAGACTAGGAATTAGAAGACCCAAGTTCTAGTCCCAATTGCGTAATTCAACTATGTGGGGATGTTTGTAAATTTCTGAGGGTGTTTTTCTCACAATGATGAGCAACTGCAATATTTAGCAGTTGAAGACCAGAGATGTTAGATGTTCTATAATGCACAAGACAATCCTACACAACAAAGTCCAATCCTGCATCCCAGAAAACTTCCAAATATCTTACTTGGCATTCACATGGCTTAAAACAAAACAACAATTTATATTGATCTGACCTTAGAACCGAATTCCGTTTTACATATAAATGCAAAATTCACTCAATTTCCAGGAACACAATTACTTTGTAAATGAAGGAAAGATTATACTTTGCTTCACTTGGAACTTAAGGGCTGTCCACCATTTTTGAAAAATTACATCACCGATGGCAGTCCTGGTCGTGTTATCTGAGTCCTTCACTAACCCCCGGCACCTCTGCCGGCCCACGTCTAGATCTAGCTGCGGCTTCACAGTGAGTCAGTATGCAAATATATGTACCTGACTACTTCGTTATGTCTTTTAGTGCAGTCATATCATGCACTTACATACTGAAATACCTATTTTATTCTAAATCAATGTCCTTTTCTTTTTTATTTTATAATTAGGACATTATGTTGGTTTATTGGAAAGAAGATGGGTTATATGATCTATGAATTACATTTCAGGGTAGTAAAAGGGAGGGGATGCTTAAAGTATTTGGTAAAAAAAACAGACAAACAAAAAACCAATGGCGCAATGTGTGTAATTAGGTTGAGAACCACTAATTTAGAGCAAGTTACTAAACCACCCAAGGTCTCCTTCTTCATCTATAAAAATAGGGGATGTGAAGAAACAATTTCTTAGGCTCTGTCTCTGTAAAATATGGCATTTCAATACGACTACATTTCAACAAAAGCTACCTCTGCACAGGCATTGTGGGACATTTTGTCCCCAGAGATGAAAGATATGTTCCTACCTGGCATACTTGGACTCTTAAGTAAAACATGTAAGTAGAAGGTAGACAACATTCACTCCTGACTACTCAGAATGGAACTAACCATTAGCTGTAAAAACCATTACAGAACATAACAGCATTGTCAATATTTGGGAGATAGGGAATTTATTTCCTTTGAAAGCTAAAAACTTACATATTAGCATGAAAATAGCTTTCCTTTAGATCTTTGTCAGAGGAGTCCTATCAGCTGTAAACCCTACCAAGGGCAGTATATTAGAACACAAAATCCTAACCTAAAAACAAACATTGCTGAAAGAATCTAATTTAGAAAACAAATCAGGGACCCCTGGGTGGCTCAGTCAGTTAAGTGGTTGGCTCAGGTCATGATCCCAAGGTCCTGGGATGGAGTCCCGCAAGGGGCTCCTTGCTCAGCAGGGAGCCTGCTTCTCCCTCTCCCTCTGCAGCTCCCCCTGCTTGTGTTCTCTCTCTCTCTCTCTGACAAATAAATAAAATCTTAAAAAACAAAACAAAACAAAAATTTCTGAAATATCCTGTAATTAGATATAGGTAATGCTACTCACAGGAAATTATCAAAACTCTGAAGCAAATCCAAAAACCACCCAGACCTCATGGTGCACAGAGCTCTAAATCTACTCTTTCTTCCTGGGGATCTGTGCCATAGGAAACTTTCTTTTTTTAATTAAAACTGTCTAGGTTTAGAATTAAAAATTAAGATGGTAAAAATACTTCAAAACCTGAAACAAATAAATTAAAAGCAACCTAAAAGGCTCTATCTAACAGTATCAGGAATCTAAAGTAAATTACTTTGTTTACATAAGCCGCTTCCACATTGCAGTATCATTTATTTTGAGTGTTTTATAATTATTATGGAAACCAAAAAACCAAACATTCATAAACAACTAGATTTACAATTCTACAAGACCTTTTTAGCAGTTTTCTGGCCAAGATTAAGATACCAAGTAAAGGCAATGAATATTATTACCATTATCCCAGATAATTCCAAGAACGTTTTGAAAGTGAAAGAAATCTATACAGTTGTCCCTTGAACAACACGGGTTTGAACTGTGGGAGTCCACATATGCTGATTTTTTCCGATAAATTTTCTCTTCTCTATTTTCTCTGCCCTATGATGTTCTTTTTTTTTTTTAAAGATTTTATTTATTATTTATTCATGAGAGACAGAGAGAGAGAGAAGCAGAGGGAGAAGCAGGCTCCCCGCTGAGCAGGGAGCCTGATGAGGGACTTGATCCCGGGACCCTGGGATCATGACCTGAGCCGAAGGCAGATGCTTAACCATCTGAGCCACCCAGGCGCCCTGCCCTATGATGTTCTTTTTTTTTTTAAAGATTTTATTTATTTATTTGACAGAGAGAGACACAGCGAGAGAGGGAACACAAGCAGGGGGAGTGGGAGAGGGAGAAGCAGGCTTCCCGCGGAGCAGGGAGCCCGATGTGGGGCTCGAACCCAGGACCCTGGGACCATGACCTGAGCCGAAGGCAGACGCTTAACGACTGAGCCACCCAGGCGCCCCCTGCCCTATGATGTTCTTAATAACATTTTCTCTTCTCTAGCTTACTTTATTCTAAGAATGCATTATATCAAATTTATAAAATGCAAACTATGTATAATCAACAGTTTATGTTATCAGTAAGACTTCTGCTCAACAGTAGGCTATTAGTAGTTAAGTTCTGGGGGAGTCAAAAGTTATACAAGGATTTTCAACTTTTTTTTTAAGATTTTATTTATTTGAGAGAGAGAGTGCGTGTGCACACAAGTAGGGGGAGTGGCAGAGGGAAATGGAAAAGCAGGTTCTCTGCCGAGCAGGGATCCCAATGTGGGGCTCGATCCCAGGACCCTGGGATCATGACCTGAGCTGAAGGCAGGTGCTTAACTGAGCCCCGCCCCCAAGGCACCCCAAGGATTTTCAACTTCTGAGGGAGGGTTATTGGTACTCTTAATTCCCACACTGTTCAAGAGTCAGCTGTTTATTCCATACCCCCAATCAAAGTCCTAGCCATGGGGAAAGATATAAGGTAGTCCAAAATTTTATACTTATTTTTAGAAGTTCCTCAGAGGGCTCTGTTAAACTAAAAATAATCTGAGATGGTTCACATTTTATCTGAAAGCAATGGGGAAAAATGTAAAGTCAGAAAATGCTCTAAATTAAATGGTCTCAAGTGAGCTTAAGTGGAAAGGGCCCAGCAGGGGCTCCGGGATGGTGGTGGTCCTTCACGCTCAGGCGCAGGCTGGTGACTAGACAGCCTGTACTACTGGCACAGATGTCACAAAGAGCCCGCCCAGAAAATACCTCCCTGTCACTGTGTTCTACCACCAGCCCTCTCTCTGGCCTGGCTGGACAAACTTACACACGTAGAACTCAGATCAGGACCGCCTCCTCTAAAAAGCCTTTCCTGCCCTATTCTCTCCATTCCCGTGTGTCTATCCAAGTGTACTATGGATAGTCAAACAAGGAATATTCTTTGTCCCATTGTGTTAAGAGATAACTAAATCTCTAATCTGCCTACGTAATTCTGCTAAAACTCCAGGTTTGGGCATCACTGGACTAGCGGTAGGCTTACCTACATCCTGTGCCCCTTTCCTCCTATCACCACGGAAGAAGCATCTCTCCTATCTAAGGCTAATCCTTCCTACCATGAGCTAGATCCTAGAAGATTATGAGCAAAGGCAGAGTCAGACTGATCCACTGTGTGACTGATCTCGGGCAAGTTACTTAATATCTCTGATCCTCCATTTCCTCTCACTGTGTAGAATTTCCCCAAGGATAAGAAGATAATATAGACAAGTATCTAACACGGTGTCTGTGAAATAATAGAAAATATATATATTGGTCTCTGTTTCTGGTTCCTGACAGAGGGCTTCTGAAACACTTGTAAATTCCTAAGTGATAAGAGCACTTAGGAACATCTTTTGTTCTAGTGAAGCAAATCTGGGTGGGCACCTGGGTGGGGATGGTCCCCAAAAAGACGAGGCCATGATTAGAAGCTTGGATTTTCAGTTCCAACCCTCATTTTCCAGAGAGAAGAGAGGAGCTGGAAATGGAGTTAATAACTGACCACGCCCATGTGAGGAAGCCTCCATAAAATCCTAAGAGTATGGGGTTCAGAGAGTTTCCAGGTTGGTGAACACCTCTATATACCAGGAGGGAAAAGTACCCCAACACCAAGAGGGTAAATCCCCAAGAGGGGTCATCTATATCTCTGTTACCAAACCCTTTAATAAACTGGTAAACATAAGTCAGTGTTACCCTGTGAGCTGTTCTAGCAAATAATCAAATCCAAGGGTCATAGGAACCTCCGATTTGTAGCCTAGTTGGACAGAAGCTGTGGGTAATCTGGGGACCCACCACTTGTGGCTGACACTGAAGAGGTAGGGTTGGGGGCTCGCAGTCTTGTGGGACTAAGCCCTTAGCCTGTGGGATCTGACAGTATCTCCAAGTAGATAGTGAGTTAAATTGCAGGACATCCAGCTAATGTTGCAGAATTCTTGGTGCGGGGGATAAAACCTACACATCTGATGTCAGAAGCATTCTGAGTGTGAGAGTAAAGGAGAAACCTAGGAGAAGACTGGAGTTCTTCCAACCCAGTGTCTCACAGACAGTAAAGGCTCAAAGCCCTCCCTTCCTCCCCACCTCCTCATCCTCTGAAACCTCACTCCATTCATTTTTTTCCCCTCTCTCTAAAAGTGACTCCCTCCCTTGAGCACCTGAACCTGCTAGTCTTCCCCATATTTTTTTTAAAGATTTTATTTATTCATTAGAGAGAGAGTGAGGGGAAGGGCAGAGGGAATAGCAGACTCCCTCCTAAGCAGGGAGCCCGATCCCCAGGACCCCGACATCACGGCCCGAGCCGAAATCAAGAGTTGGATGCTTAACCGACTGAGCCACCCAGGTGCCTCTAGTTTTCCCCACATTTAAAAACAGAACACACACACACTTCTGTTAACCTCATGTCCTCTCGTAGGCACATCTCTGTTTCTTCTCATCCAGGAAGCTTTTTGGAAGTTTGGTCTACTCCTTGTCTCCAACTCCACATCTTTCACTTACCCCCTCACCATGTAACTTAAACTGCGCTTGCCAAGATGAATAACAATATCTTACTTGCTAAAACCAAAAACAAGGTTTTTAGTCTAGTGGACACCATCCCATTCTAAGATTCCATTCTAAGATCTCCTTACAGCATGATACTTTCATGTCCTTCTTGAAAAGTTCTGCTTCCTTTTCAGGCACCACATTCCTGGTTTCTCACCTACATTTATATCTACCAGGCTAATCTTTGCTTCTGTAGAAGGAACTTCACTTGGGGGCACCTGGGTGGCTTACTGGTTGGGCATCAGACTCTTGATTTTCGCTAAGGTCGTGATCTCCGGGTCGTCTGATGGAGCCCCGCGTGGAGCCCTACCTCTGGCTCCTCGCTCAGCATGGAGCCCGCTTCTCCCTCTCCCTCTGCCCCACCCCCACTTGTGTGCGTGCTCTCTCTCTCTCTCTCTCAAATAAATAAATAAATAAAATCTTTAAAATAAAAAGTTAAACAAGGTAACAGGTGCCTGGGTGGTGAAGTCAGTTCAGCGTGTGACTCTTGGTTTTGGCTCAGGTAGTGATCTCAGGGTGGTGAGCTCAACCCCCGCATGGGGCTGTGAGAGCTCAGAGTGGAGTCTTCTTGAGATTCGCTCTCCCTCTGCCCCTCCCCGACCTGTGCATGTGCTCTCTCTCAAATAAATCTTTTTAAAAAAATAAAAATAGGAACACCTGGGTGGCTCAGGCGGTTAAACGTCTGTCTTCAGCTCAGGTCATGATTCCAGGGTCCTGGGATTGAGCCCCCCATAGGGCTCCCTGCTCAGCGGGGAGCCTGCCTCTCCCTCTGCCTGCCGTTCCCCCTGCTTGTGCTCTGTCTCTCACTCTCTCTCTCTCTCTCTGACAAATAAATACATAAAATCTTTAAAAAAATAAATAAAAAATAAATAAATAAAAATACAAAATAAAAAGTTACACAAGGTAAAATGAACGAACATGTTAGGACGATGTTGTTCCTCACTGAGACTTAGCTACTATCTACACTGGTACACACATAATACATTTATGCCCATCCTCTCCAACTCCTTCACTCACAAAAACACATGGGCTCCCCATATAGCCACCTATTTGGATACAAATGCATACTCAGATATGCAAACCCACAAGGAACATTTCACACAGTCAGTTAGTCATAGTAGGTGGGTGGGCAAGTAGAAAGGTGCATGACTGGATGAGTTGGAAAGTGAGCAAATCTAAATGACAAAAGCTGAATCGGGGGAGGGTTATAGGTGAACAAGGGAGTAAGGTGCTAATAAAACAATTATCTAATGGCAGAATAATGATAGATGTTAGATGGTACAAAGAAAACTGTCATTAATTAGTTTCATGACCTTAGATAAACCAAACTTTTGGGCCTTGTCTATAAAACACAGAAGCTAGACTAAGGGATTCTCTACACATTCGTTATAATTCCGAAATTCTGTGATTGTATAGAAAAACTTAACTTTAAAACGTATTGTTGTTTTGATCTATTGTTTTCATTCCTTATCATTTCAATCACAACACCCACAGCCATTATGCTCCAACCACAATTTCTGATGCTGGGGCCCTGCCTTTGACAGACCTAATGATAAGTGCTATAATCAAGGGGTTCAAAAAGAAGTACTGATAGGGCTCTGGCAGAGGAATATTTAACTCTGCCTAGGGGAACTGTTGTGTGCCTTACAGAGGAGATGACATTTTAGCTGGGTCTTAAGGGATAAGGCATGTAATACAAAGTTTCAGTTGAAATTTTTCTATAAAGTGTTAGAAACCCAATTATGACCTAACAGTAAACACATATGAATAACTGCTAATGAGCTATGTATTATTCTTTTTAAAGATGTCCGACCAATAACATTGTAAATGGAAGTAGTCCTCCAGACAGGAAAGAATACAAAAGGAGAAGGGAATTCACACGTGTCATTTCTGTTTTCCATTTCTGTGCTCAAGATGGAAGTGCAGTTTCTGAGACACTGAAATTCTAACATCCGTGCTGCTATCTGCAGATCCTTTCAACAGAATCTTTAATTCAAAAGTGAAAATTAAGCCATAATTTTCATTCAAATTAAATAGTAAGCAGACAAACTACAAAGTAGCCAGGCAGCTCTTAAAAGAAAATGTTTGGCTAAACTAAAGTTTAGGAATATACTAAGGTTTTGTGAACTTTATAATGGATATGAAGATGTACTCTAGACCCAAGTGATACTTTACATGATAGCATGTTAAGACAGTGTGATTCTAAGTGAGTCTTATATTTCTGACCAATGGTAAGAATGGAAGAAGGAAGTTAATTTTAAACAAAAATCATAGTACTCACAATTTTCACACTCAGGCTTGAAACTCCATGATCATGAAGTTCATCCTCAAACAGGAGAACTTCTTCAAAAAATTTAATCTGTTCTCTGGCTTTCAATTTCTCTGTATCTATATGATCTGTTGTAGGTACAACCTGAAAGAAAAAATTCAAGAAGGAACACATATGAATTTAAAGAGCTAGAGTCACAGGAAAATAGTTTTCCTACCAGCCTTGTCTTCATAGCCAGAGCACACAGTTCTACTTTTGGGTGTCGTCAGTAGACATGAAAGATGAGATATGCAAAAAAAAAAGGGGGGGGCGGGGGGCGCCTCGGTGGCTCAGTCGTTAAGCATCTGCCTTCAGCTCAGGTCATGGTCCCAGGGTCCTGGGATCGAGCCCCGCATCAGGCTCCCTGCTTGGCGGGAAGCCTGCTTCTCCCTCTCCCACTCCCCCTGCTTTTGTTCCTTCTCTCTCTCTCTGTCAAATAAATAAATAAAAATCTTTAAAAAAAAAAAAAGACAAGATATGCTCCTTGTGCCTGAAAAACTTAAGGGAACTACAGCTGGCTGGTGCTGGAGCTTCACAAAACACAGAGTCAAAATTCATCATCTTTCATCAAATTCAAATCAAGTGTTCTGTTGTGATTGTGAGAAAATTAATCATCTGAAAATTAGTGTGATGAACTACTATCATAGATGTCCCAAGCAGTTTTGTGCTGTGAAAGTCCACCTTTAAGACACTGGTTTGGAACTTAAAAAATTCCCATTAGAATCTTGTTCTATATTTTAGATTCCCAGCCTCGCTTCCCCAAACCTACCAACAAAATAGTGTTTTAAATAAGGAGGTAAATAAGAACTTTCAGAGAAATTCTGAGGGAAAAACTCTAGCATTCCAAAGGACTTTAGAAGATGCTGGCCATTTCTTCACTGTATTATTTTGTAGCTCAGAGACACACATATTCACAACCCAACAAGAGCATCATCAACAATGTTAACAAGGCAAGTCCTATCAGTAGCTTACTAAGTCCAAGCATCTCCTAACAGCTTAAGAGTAGGATCTGAGATATCATTCTTTACTCCTCCCAATTTCACTAAAAGATGTTCAGCTTTTCTATTCTTTGACATAGTTGTATCATAAATACACACAACAATGCTTGTCAAACCACAGGTGTTCAGTAAATGGCAGCTATTATTTTACTTTCCTCAGTAGCCATGATGAGGTAATTTGACTCATGGACAGAATTACAAAATGGAGAGTAGTTTGAGAAAACTGGACAAGAATTAGAGGAATATGATAAAGGATGTTCAAGAGACTGCATGGATTGGGGTGGGGGAATAGCTTAAAGGAGTATTATGTGATATAGGGGGAAGAGATTATGACGACAAGTAGCAGTGTGCACAGGAGTCCCAAGAGGTGAAAAAAAATGTCCAGAGTTCTTCCATGTTCGCTCACAGATAACACTTTAGCCCTCTGCAATTTTTTCCAAAATGTGTCTGGAGCAGACCTGAGACCACATACAAAGGTGAAAATTGGGAGTGGGAAGGGAGGTGAGGGGCGGCGATAGGGCAGCACAACCAGCGCCTTGTGTCACTTTCATGTTTGTGTTCTATTTAAGACAAAAGCTGGTGCTTCTAGGGCTGCCAAGAGCATAAAACTTCAGTCAATATAAACACAACTTCTAAGTTCCCTACTTTTTATTTAGCTTTAGTTCAAAGGAACACATCTGTAAGATCCTCCTTATAGAAATATCTGACTTCCAAAAAGTTAACCAATCGTTATATCCATTTTCTCGTTAGTAAATGGCTACTCCACTAATGTTTCATATATACCTTCACAAGGGACTAATAAAAATGAATCTGTTTGCCATTTACTTGTTCTTACAAAATACTTGAAAGACAGAAAATAATTAGATAAAACATGGGTTAGGGATGTTCATTATATTTAATTTATACCTCCTTCTTCATTTGCAAGGACAAATATGTTTAAAACATATTTTCTCTTCCTCAACTCTATTTATGTCCTCCCTAAACTCAGGCAACTGAAAAGAAAGGGGGGAAAAAAACCAAAACCAACAGCTCAATTGAAAACAGATCAAACACTTCTGGCTTCTAGTACTATCAGAATAAGTAACCCAGACAAATCCTCTTGCTGAAGACAACTTAAAAGCTGAATGAAAAAACAAAAACTTTTTTTTTTAATTTTTAAATTTTTTTAAGATTTTATTTTATTTTGCGAGAGAGAGAATGAGAGACAGAGAGCATGAGAGGGAGGAGGGTCAGAGGGAGAAGCAGACTCCCCGCTGAGCAGGGAGCCCGACGTGGGACGCGATCCCGGGACTCCAGAATCATGACCTGAGCCGAAGGCAGTTGCCTAACCAACTGAGCCACCCAGGCGCCCAAAACCAAAAACTTCTTAAAAACATCAAATGGTCAAGATGCAGAAGCATTACTGGACTGAGACCTGAAAAAGGACTGGAGCCCAGAAAAAGGGCAAGTGAGCCTGTAGTTGGCTGGTTGGGGCCTGGAGGTATCTGGAACAGCTGATCCAGGGGAGTAGCTGGGCTCTGCTCTTTTTTGGCTCCATCACTGCTCAATGCTCACGAAGGACAGGGACCTTGGAGAATTCCCTGTGCCCCTCCCAATTTTGGGATGATACCCTATAATGCTACACTGGTTTCACAACTTCTTATATTACAGGCCTAGAAACCTCAAACTCTGGTCCCAAACCAGAGGTTAGCAAACTAAGACCTGCAGGCCAGATGTGGCCAAATGTGGCCCATCACCTATTTTTGCATGAATTGTGAGCTAAGAATCATTTTTACATTTTTTAAATGATTGGAAAAAGCAGTTAAAAAAAGAATATTTCATGACACATGAAATTCAAATTCATCATATGAACATATATATGAATTCATATATATTTCACTATATGAAACTCAAATTTCCATGTCCCTAAGTAAAATTTTACCGAAACAAAGCCATGACCATTCATTTACTTGTCGTCTATGGCTGCTTTCAACTATAATACCACAGCTCAGCAGCTGCAACGTAGACTCTATAACCCTCAAAACCTAAATAAAACATTAGCTATCTTGGGGCACCTGGGAGGCTCAGTCATTAAGCGTCTGCCTTTGGCTCAGGTCATGATCCCAGGGTCCTGGGATCGAGCCCCGCATCGGGCTCCCTGCTCCGTGGGAAGCCTGCTTCTCCCTCTCCCACACTCCCCCTGCTTGTATTCCCTCTCTCGCTGTGTCTCTCTCTGTCAAATAAATAAATAAAATCTTAAAAAAAAATTATTGAAAGTAGTGCATGTGTGTGTATATACACGCATAAGATATATATTTATCTTCATATATATATAATATATATAAGAAAAATTTTTTCTTTTTGTTTCTATAGTACATACCATTAGTGAAATTACTGTTACATGGTGATTTTTTTTAAATGAAGACATAACTTCCATACTATACAACTCACTCTTTGAAAGCGTACAATTCAGTGGTTTTTAGTATTTTCACAGGATTGTGCAGTCCTCACCACTAACTCTAGAACACGGCATCACCCCAAAGAGAAACCCCCATACCTATTAGCAGTAACTCTCCATTCCCCCCTTCCCCTAGCCTCTGGAAACCACTACTCTAATTTCTGTTTCTATAGATTTGTCTCTTTTGCAAATTATTCTGGAATCACACACGTGTGTTTTGTGTCTGACTTCTTTCACTTAGCATGTTTCCGAGGCTCGTCCATGTTGCAGCATGTTATCAGCACTTCAGTCCTTTTTCAAGGCTAAATAATATTCCACTGTCTGGATACACCAGTTCTGTTTATCCACTGATGATTATTTGGGTGTTTTCCACATTTTAGCTATTATGAATAATGCTGCCCTGAACAGCTGGGTACAGGTTTTTGCATGGGTACAGGTTTTTCAATTCTCTTGAGTGCATGCCAGGGGGAGGAGGGGAGGTTGAATTGCTGGCTTAGATGGTAACTCTCTGTTTAACTTTTTCTTTTTTTTTTTTTTTTAAAGATTTTATTTATTTATTTGACAGAGAGAGACAGTGAGAGTAGGAACACAAGCAGGGGGAGTGGCAGAGGGAGAAGCAGGCTTCCCGCTGAGCAGGGAGCCCGATGTGGGACCCGATCCCAGGACCCTGGGATCATGACCTGAGCCGAAGGCAGACGCTTAACGACTGAGCCACCCAAGCACCCTTAACTTTTTCTTTTAATTGCAGCCAAAAATACGTAACATGAAATCTACCATCTTAACCATTTTTAAGCATACAATTCAGTAGTGTTAACTATATTCACATTGTTGTCAAACAGATCTCTAGAATTTCTTCATCTTGCAAAACTGAAATACTATTAGAATTGTTAACTCATACCCCTGTGAAAAACAACTTTATCAACTAGGGTACAATACCTATGTGCAGTTCCTTTTGCCTTTAGACTCAACAAAGCCCATTCATTTCCAATGTTTAAGTTTGCACATTTCTCCCTAAAAATGTACTTTGAAAAGCTCAAGATACTGAAGATGATATAAAAATGGCCAATAAGCATATGAAAAGATGCTCAACATCACTAATCATTAGAGAAATGCAAATTAAAACCCCTCATACATTGCTGATGGGAATGTAAAATGGGCAACTACTGTAGAAAACAGTACGGAGGTTCTCCAAAAGATTAAAAATAGAATTGCTGTGTGATCTAGCAATTCCACTTCTGGGTATATACCCAAAAAACTATAAGCAGAATCTCAAAGAGGTATTTGCACACCTCTGTTCATAGCACCACTATTCACAACAGCCAAGGACAAGCAACCCAAATGCTCACTGACAAATGAGTGGGTACAAAATATGGCATATACATATACAGAAATATTATTCAGCCTTAAAAAGAATGGAAAGTCTGACACGCGCTATTCTGATGAACCTTGAGGACACTATGCTAAGTGAAATAAACCAGTCACAAAAAGACAAATATTGTATGATTCCACTTATCTGAAGTATCTACAGTGGTCAAATTCATAGAAACAGAAAATAGAATGGTGGTTGCCAGGGACTGGGGGAGGAGGAAATGGGGAGTTATTGTTTAACAGGTACAGAGTTTCAGTTTTCCAAGATGAAAAAGTTCTGGAAATTGGATGCATAACAATATGAATATACTTAACACTAACTTAATATACACAGAAATTGTTAAGATGGTAAATTTTGTGGGGCGCCTGGGTGGCTCAGTCGGTTAAGCGGCTGCCTTTGGCTCAGGTCATGATCCCGGGGTCCTGGGATTGAGCCCCACATCGGGCTCCCTGCTCATAGGACAGCCTGCTTTTCCTTCTCCCTCTGCCTACTTCTGCTCCCTCTCTATCTCTCTGTCAAATAAATAAATAAAATCTTTAAAAAAAAAAAAAAGATGGTAAATTTTGTTATATGTTTTTTTACCACAGTAAAAAAAGAGAGAAAAGCTCAAAATATTAAATCACACTGAGTAAGTTGGCAAATGTTCCAACATACTTTAAAAAAGCATGCTTTTTTTAGGGGCGCCTGGGTGGCTCAGTCGGTTAAGCATCTGACTCTTGGTTTCAGCTCAGGTCATGATCTCCGGGTCCTGTGCCAGGCTCCAGACTCAGCGAGGAGTCTGTTTAAGGATTCTCTCTCCCCCCTCCCTCTACCCCTCCTCCGGCTCTCACACTCTCTTTCTCTCACTCTCTGTCAAATAAATAAACACAACTTTTAAAAACATGCTTTTTTAAATGTATGGACATTATACACGTTTTATTCCTAAAAGGCAATACAACTAGAAGAGGCAGTCTTCCACTTCTATTCTCCTGCAAAGTCAATTTATTTATTTAACAAGAATGAAGAAAATGACCACATGTTGCCGGGTACATATTAGGCATCTGACCTCATAACATTCTTTTTTTTTTTTTTTAAGATTTTATTTATTTATTTGATAGAGAAAGACACAGTGAGAAAGGGAACACAAGCAGGGGGAGACGGAGAGGGAGAAGCAGGCTTCCCATTGAGCAGGGAGCCCAATGTGGGGCTCGATCCCAGGATCCTGGGATCATGACCTGAGCCGAAGGCAGACGCTTAACAACTGAGCCACCCAGGCACCCCTGACCTCATAACATTCTTACACCATAATCTCAGAGATGTTCTGAGGGTGGCCCAGCTAATAAATAGCAAAGCTGGATTTGAATCCAGCCAGTACAACTCTAATGACTGGCTCTCTTCTCTTGCACTATGCTACAACTCAGAGTAATAGGTAAAACAACACAAAAAGAGTGAGAAAACACTAGACACACACCAGCAGCAGCCCCCGACAATTAAAAGGCAAGAATTTAAGGGCAAAAAAAAAAAAAAAAGGCTTCATTCTAATGCCTCATTCTCTGACATTCTTACCATTTATATAAAACATATTCTCCTCCACAGGCATATACTTCCTATACACACCAGGGCTTTTGTTTTCAGAAATGGGGGAAGAACTGAATAACTTAAAGTCCCAAGTAACATTATAGGGCAAAAAAATCCTTAGGTATCAAGAAAGCCAAATGCAAAAAATGTTCCAATGGAGTGATCTTCCACATACAACAACATGCTTAACAATAAGCTACAGCATTGGTATTATGTTATTAACAGAAACATACTTTAAGATCTTGAACCCATTTCTTCATCCACAAAATGAGGATAAGAATGTCTATGACACAAGGTTATTTTGAGGATTTTGCCTAGAAAACGGTTACTCAATTTTTTAAGGCAATAAAGGAATATATTCATCAAGTCCATTTAGACCATAAGGCAAAAATAAATATTTAGACAATATATCTAGTCTTGGTATTTCAATAATACTTAATATATATTTTTCTATAATATCTTGGTATATATCTAGTCTAATATTTTAGTCTTGTTATTTCAATAATATTAACTTAGTTTTCCTGACATTTGAATATAATATCATCATCATAATAATAGCAGCTACCATTTATGGAGATCTTGCTGTGGAACAGACACTGTGCTAAACACTTCACATATGTATTCTTAATACCTTACAACTGCTATTATCCAGTTTACCAAAGTGAGAAACAATGTTTAGCAAGATTAAATTGCTTTTCCAAGTTAAGTGATGGTGTTGGGATTTGAACCCAGGCCTGCCAAAGCCTGAGCTCATTACCACCAGTGAGGGGTGATCACACTGACATTTTCAACAACACCTCAGAACAAATTACATTACAGGTTAAAGTGTCAGTAAGAGTACTGAACACACGCTCTTCACCTCCTACAATTCTCAAACTCCCCGTTTCTACTGCTGTGTTTCTTGCTCATTGGTCACAGCTAATGCTACTTCATAACCCATAGGAGGTTTTTTGTAAGTCATCATTCCTACAAAGGGTTAAAACGAGTTCCCATTACCTCACTCCCAGCAATGAAATATCAAATGAACTATATTCTCTACAAAGTTTTTCACTCAGGAGAAGAAAGGAGAATATTAATCTATGAAGTATTAAGGGATTGAAAAACCTTGCTCCCCATTAGACTGTAACAGAGGGATTTTTGTCTGTTCTCTGCTATATCCACAGCTCCTAGAATTAGTGCCTAGCTCAGAGGAAGAGTTCAAGAATGAATGAGTGTGTGAGTGAGTAGAGTGAATGAATGAATGAATGAATGCATACGTGTTCTCTCAAAAAATGTATATTTGTCTTGGAAGCAGCGGAGAAAAATAGTTAAAGCTTGGATTATAGGACTGACAGAAAATTAACAGAATGGAGTTCCTGCTATGAACTTCTGTCTTCCCAAGACTAAAAATCTCTGCAGAGACAAGGAGCCCATACACAGCTCTATCTCCTTAACATTTCTGCCTAGGCACCAACATATGACAGAGGGTCTCCAATAATTACTTTATTTACACTAAAATAATTTTGTTCTCTGTAATTGAATGTGATTTGGCAACCTAAAAAATTTGGCAACCTAAGCCAAATTTTCTTCATTTCAGTCAAACTGTAGGATGTCAAGATGCAGCTAAGTTCCCAATATGAGACCTACCAATCCCACTTTCCCAGCATCATTCACCACAAAGTGAATCTCTTCTTAAGCATGGTTTACACAGATGCATTATTAACATGGAGCTTTAGAATTTATCGAGAGCTTTCCCACAGATTAGCTCATATCAAACGTCTGATGTTGAGGTCACTATTTCTGTTTACCCAATTTACTAATAAAATTGAGACTCAGAGTAAGTAACTTGCCTAGAGTCATACCAGGTTCACAGACAGAGCAGGCGGGACAAAAACCTAAGCTGTCTGACTAAAAGTCCTATCTGCCCACCTGCCTGTTCATCCGTAAAACTGTAAGCTACTAACCAGCAGGTTCTATCTAAATCACCTAATTCATTACACCAAGGGCAGATACACATTTTAATGCTTCTTGAGAGTGATAATGATAACATTAAGGCAGTTTGCTATTGTTACTAAACATACTTTTGAGAATAAAAATTGTTCCCCTATGGCCTTCTTATTTTCTGTTTATAATCAATAAGCAAAATCCCTTCACATCAGGTTCTGAAGCGTCCCTCAATAGAAAGTAAGTGGGATGAAAGTAGTAGCAAAAATAAGCCATTATTAGAAAGTTCTACTGCTGAGACTGTCCAAGACCATTAATGACTTTATCATAAAAGCAAAAAATAAGATTTACCTTTAACTTAAGTGATTCTCCAAGTAATGTTCCCTTATAATCTGTTGTATAGGTCCAATCATATGGTTTAATAACTTCTTTGGAGTGTTCACCCTCCGTCCTCAAATATCAAAATGAGAAGGATCAGATTTAATGATGCAGAATATAGATCATCTGTATTCATATATTACACCAAATTACATTCTACAAATAATACAAATATCCTAATAAATACATATACTTGTCATAATTCACTAATATAAGATCTTTCTTGGTTTTTCTGCATATTTATTGTTATTAAACTTGTCATATGCTGATAGAGTCTCTCCAATTAGTCTGTATACTGCCTAAGGACATGGTTTAAAGGCTTGTACTTCTTTCTTTCCTCCAAGGTACCTAGTACATAATAGGCACAAAGTAAATAATTGCTGATTTGATTATCAAAGAAAATACATTTTTCTCTATTTCAATGCTCCTCACACTTACAATGCAAATCACAAGTAACCATTTTTCTTCAAAAACAGTAACAAAAAAGTACACAGTATACTGCCTCTTCACTAAAGAACACTGAAAGCTCAAAAATGTAAACCTTACATAGCTCAGCTCAACTGTAATTCAACTGATTTCAATTCAAGAGGTGGGGTAACTAAGCTCCATTTTATGGATGAGAAAAATGAATCCAAGAATGATCTAACTATCAAGTTTAATAATACTTGCCTTTCATTCTAATAAAATACACCACATATCATGACTGAAGATTTCTTTCAACTCTTCTTTTTAATTAACCCATAACTGCCCAGATTCTCACCTGCTTTCCTGCCACTCTTCAGCACAGGCTACTTTAAGCATTCCTTGATAGTTGTTAACACATCTTAATGCATCTGTAGCATTGAACTCAATCCCAAAGCCAGAGCCATGCTGGATTCTTAAAACGTTGTCTCCAAACATCATTTCAGGGAGAGATGGCATATGTAATTCATCGGCTAACCTATGCATAACCAAAAGTCAGGTAAGAGTTCCAATAGGGTTATAATTATAAAGTGGGCAATAGAGGCAAAAGTTTAAATATGCTCTGAGTAAAGTTCTAAGGGACCACAAGGAAAGCACAGGACTTTAGTGCAAGTGTTCTACGATAGCTACTTTAGCAGATCAGAAAGCTTTCTTTTCAATTTTCTTTCTTAAGGCTTCTGGATTTTTTGAACAGCTACACAGCTATTATTGTTAGGTAAGGGAAAATAATACTATATTAAAAAACATATTGTTACATAAAGCCAACATAGGATCTATGCATATCCTAAGACCACAATTACCTTCTTTCCTATTGCTTTAGAGCTATTTCTAATCAGACATAGCAATCAAATCTTGCATATATATTAAAAGCAAATAAGCAAAAAAACCCTCATGAACAAACTAAACAATGGAAAAAATACTGATTCTTATTAGAAACATCTATTTCATTCCTGGATCACGAAAGGCCCACCACCATCAAGAATAAATATGGGTTCTAATCCTAGGAGAAGACCTAATGTACCATAGTCTCATGTTTCCATAAGCTTTATGTTTCTGGTAGACTTTTTGTTCTTACACAATTATATTAATTATAGTTATGAAGAAAAGATAGCTTAAACAGACTTAAAGAGTCTGTTTCTTGTAGGAAAACAACCTTTCCAATATATTTCTCAACTTGTTACAAGTTTTAAAAGGTGGTAATGAAGAAAGCAAAAGCATCAACACTGATGAGGGAAACCAGCACTTGCTTACGTGGATTTCTGGAAGGACTGTGTCAATTTACATCCTATCCCCTGGGGCACCAATTAAGCAAAAAGTACAAGGAATTTAATCAAATTTATATCCTGACTCAAAATATCAGTTTTGGGAAATCTATAATAAAGAAACAATCTCCAATGCAGAAAAGAGCTATACACATTAATACTCATAACCATCTTATTCATAATAGTAAAAAAGAAATACTCAGAATGTCCAATCATAAAGAAATAAATGGTCATGTATACTACAGTATATCCATACAATGAAATATTATAGAATCATCAAAAATGTTTAAAGAGAAAATATAATACAATAAAAATGATTTTGATTACAGTAGTAAGAAAAAATGGGCACATATACTTATTACATCCGTGTGTATATATGTATGCACATTATCACTGACCTAACATTTAAAGTTACACATCTTTATTTTTTTTTTGAGATTTTATTTATTTGACAGAGAGAGAGAGAGAGACAGCGAGAGAGGGAACACAAGGAGGGGGAGTCGGAGAGGGAGAAGCAGACTTCCCTCCAAGCGGGGAGCCTGATGCAGGGCTCGATCCCAGGACCTTGGGATCATGACCTGAGCCGAAGGCAGACGCTTAATGACTGAGCCACCCAGGCGCCCCAAGTTGCACATCTTTAGTGTAATATCTAATAATGTTATTTTTTCATCACAATTTTAAGTAAAATTTATTCTTAGTTATTAGGAGACAGATAATATTAAGTACTAGAGAAATTAATACTCCTATGTTCATTGCAACTCTACTCACAATAGCCAAGATGTGGAAACAATCTAAGTGTCCATCCACAGATGCATGGATAAAGAAAATAGGGTTTACATATACAATGGAATATAATGCAACCTAAAAAAAAGGAAAGAAAGTCTGCAATATGGAACAACATGGATGAACCTTGTGGGCATTATGCTAAGTAAAATAAGCCAGTCACAGAAAGACAAATACTACATGATTCTACTTATATGAGGCATCTAAAGTAGTCAAATTTGGGGGTATCTGGGTGGCTAAGTCGGTTGAATGTTGGACTCTTGATTTTCGCTCAGGTCATGACCTCAGGGTTGTGAGATCAAGCCCCAAGTTGGGCTCTGCACTCAGCACAGAGTCTGCTTGAGATTCTCTCTCTCCCTCTGCCTCTGCCCCTTCCCCTGCTCTTACACACACACACTCTCTCTCTGTAAAATAAATAAGCAAATAAATAAAATCTTTAAAAAAATAATAATAAAATAAAATAGTCAAATTTATAGAATCAAATAGTGGAATGGTGGTTACCAGAGGCTGGGGGGAGGGGAAAATAAATTACTAATCAACAGACATAAATTTTCAGTCCAGCAAGATGAATAAGCTCTAGAGATCTGTTGTACAACATTCTACCTATAGTTAATAATAATGTGTCGTACACTTAAAAATTTGTTAAGAAGGGAACTACAAAAGATCCTGAATAGCCAAAGCAATCTTGAGAAAGAAGACCAAAGCTAGAAGTATCATGCTCCCGGATTTCAATCTATACTACAAAGCTATAGTAACCAAAACAGTAGGGTGCTGACACAAAAACATACACATTAATCAATGAAACAGAATAGAAAGTCCAGAAATAAACCCACACTTACGGAGCACCTGGGTGGCTCAGTTGGTAAGTTTCCGACTCTTGATTTCGGCTCAGGTCATGATCTCAGGGTCTTGAGACTGAGCCTCACAAGAGGCGCTGCAGTCAGCGGGAAGTCTGCTTGAGATTCTTTCTCTCCCTCTCCCTCTTCCCCTCCCCCCGCTCGAGTGTGCCCTCGCATGATCTTCCTCTCTCTCTCTCTCACAACTAAATCTTTAAACCCACACTTATATGGTCATCAATCTTCAACAAAGGAGGCAATATACAATGAGAAAAAAAGTCTCTTCAATAAATGGTGCTGGTGGAAACTGGAAAATCACACGCAAAAAAAGGAAACTGAAACACTTTCTTATACTGTACACAAAAATAAATTCAAAATAGATTAAAGATCTAAATGTAAGACCAGAAACTATAAAACTCCTAGAAGAAAACATTAGGCAATAAGCTCCCTAACATCAGTCTTGGCAACATATTGTGGATCTGTCGCCTCAAGCAAAGACAACAAAAACAAAAAGAAATAAATGGGACTATATAAAACTAAAAAGCTTTTGCAGAGTGAAGGAAACCATCAATAAAGTGAAAAGGCAATCTACTGAACAGGAGACGATATTTGCAAATGATACAACCGATAATGGATTAATATCCAAAATACATAAAGAACTCACACAACTGAATATAAAAAAACCAATCTAATTAGAAATGGGCAGAGCAGCTGAATAGACATGTCTCCAAAGAAGACATAGAGACACATGAAAAGATGATCAACATTACTAATCATCAGGGAAATGCAAATCAAAACCACAATGAGATATCATTTCACACCTGTGAGAATGGCTATTATTAAAAAGACAAAAAAATAACAAGCGTTGGCGAGGATGTAGAGAAAAGGGTACCCTCCTACACTGTTGGTGGGAATGCAAAATGGTGCAGCCACTCTGGAAAAGAATAAGGAGGTTCCCCCAAAAATTAAAAAAAAAACTACCATACAATCCAGCAATTCTACTTCTGGGTATTTATTTGAACCAAACAAAAATACTAATTTGAAAAAACATACATACCCCTGTTCACTACAGCATTATTTACAATAGCTGAGATATGAAAGCAACCTAGGTATCCACTGAAAGATGAATGGATAAAGATAGATATATACACACACACATACTTCCAAGAAAAAAAGTACAAACTTCCAATAAAAAAAAATTGTTAAGAACATAGATCTCATGTTAAGTGTTCCTACTATAATAAAACAAAATTTTAAAAAATAAAATATTAAATACTTAAAAGATTTAATAAGATAAAGATTGAGTGTATTGGAATAAATATTCCATAAAAAACATCCAATTAGGGGCGCCTGGGTGGCTCAGTCATTAAGCATCTGCCTTCGGCTCGGGTCTTGATCCCAGGGTCCTGGGATCGAGCCCCGCATCAGGCTCTCTGCTTGGCGGGGTCCTGCTTCTGCCTCTCCCACTCCCCCGGCTTGTGTTCCCTCTCTTACTGTGTGTGTCTCTCTCTGTCAAAGTAATAAATAAAATCTTTAAAAAACAAATAAAAACCATCCAAATAAATTTTAACTACTTTACTGAATAATGCATATGAAATAATATAAGATGTGACTCTCTGAACTTGCCCCAATATATCTGGGGAAATCTGGTGGTCCTACAAAATATTCCAGTTATATATGTAAAATAATTAGTCACTAATCTACACTGCTAACCATCCCTTCATGACTCTCTTCCCTGGTCACTTCTCTCAGCCTAAATCTTAAAATACCAGTGCGCCCTAGAATCCCATAACCTTTTCCCTTTCTTCTGGATGACTTCTGTAAGATCTTAGTTCACTCCCAAGGCTCCAGGTATCAACCAGAAGCTGATGATTCCCAAACCTGAACCCGTGGACAGTCATGTTTTTTGAGTTCCAAGATAAATACTTATTACATCTCCACTTATGACCCACACACAACTCACATTTCAACCACCTAAGCTGTTCCTCTATCCAACAACTGCCCCAATCTGTTCCTCCTCCTGTTTCTACCTTGTTCAGTGACAAAGCTTCCCATGCAATAGCCCAAGCCAGAAATCTTGTCATCAGTATAGATTGCTCCTTCTTCCTCCCTCCTCCTGTCAACTGGCCAGCAAATCCAGGTACTCCCCTTCTAACTAGTCTCCTTACCCAGTCCTGCAGCCCCCCAATCCATCCTCCACATCGCCTTCAGAGAAATCTTTCAGAGTGTACATCTGACAATGTCACTCCTTTGTACAAAATTACACCGGTGGTGGTCACGTGAAATACAAATTCCTTAGCCTGTCATACAAATTCTCTCAGTATCTCCACTCCCCTGGGGCCTACCTCCCATTTCCCGCTACTCCCCCTCTGGTACATCATGCTGCAATCACACAGAAACGGTTCTTCAAACAAATCCAGGCTCGCACTCTCCCTGGCCTCCCGGCTTTACAAGTGTCCCCTGACACCCCCAAACTCTGTTCAGATTCAGCTCAGGCATCACAAACGCCTCACAGCTCGTACCATGCCTGGCCTCCTGGCTTTACACGTGCGCCCATCCCCACTCCATCCAACCGACTTTATCAAGATTTACCCAGGCATCCGAATTTCCCGGACGCCCTGTCCCTCTCAAAGATCTCAAATAACCCCGCGTATACATCTCTATCAGATATTCACATGGCCTGTCTCTCTCATAAGACTGAATTCCTGGAAGCAGAGGCTCTTTCATCTTCCATATCTCAAGCGCCTGGCACAGCAACTGACATGCTAAAAACCAAGCCCATGTATCATCCCCACTATGAAGCCCCAAGAAAACAGGTCACAGACACCCAGGGGAAAAAACAAAAAAAAAAACAAAAACGGTCTAAAGGTGTCTCATGCTGGGGCAGGTAGAGACCTAGGGCGAGGGCGAAGTCCACCAGCACAGTCATGCTCTGCTCAAACCCGGGCGGAGTGACAGTTGCACGGACGCAGGGCCGGGCGAACCCCCGCCAAAGGACAGGAGGTGGCGACAGGATTCTCTCCCGATGTCATTCAAGGGTCCCGTCCTCACGCACGGAGCCTCCGCCCTGGCGAGGGTTGGGGCTGCGCGCAGCTCGCCCTGCCTCCCGCCCAGGCCCAGCTCCCCGGCCCGCTCCCCGGCCCGCGCCCCGAGTCCCGGAGCCTCACTTCTCCACATCCGCGGACTTCATGATGTGGGTCTTGGACGCCGTCAGCTTCCAAGGCCCGAAGGAGAAGTCCTGGTGGCTGCTCTGGAAGCCGTGGATCATCATGGCCGAGGCGGCGCCGGCGCGGGCCTCACGGAACACGCTGGAGCAGCGGCGGCAGCGGCAGCGGCGGACACCGGTTCCTCCGCCTCCGTCCGGCCCAGCCCCCTCGGCTTCCGAGCCGTTACCATGCCCGGCTCCTCCCCGCCCCGCCCCCTGCCGGCCCACCCGGACGCGGGCCCTCCTTTCCTCTTTTTCCGCCCCTTCGACTTTTGCTTCCGGGACCAGTTGCTAATGTTGCGGGACCTACGTCTTACGTCACGATGCACCGGAAAACAGAAAAGGGGAGAGAAACTGAGGGGCGGGGCTTCTGCCGCAGGGGGTGTGGCCAGGGACGTACCGCCCCTCTCGCTGGACTCTTTGGATGACGTCATCTGGGAGTATTTTACAGAATGCCAGTGATGGAGAAGGCGAATTCGGCAGGATCTTTACAGACCTCGCAAAGCAGTGTCATTACGTCGCATGTTGGCGAATCAGTGTGCAGAGGAAATGTCCTATATTTTTCTGTCGAGGCCAAAAAACAGAAACCCCTTAGAATTTAGGAGGTCCAGCATTGAGTGTTACATGATTCAGAAGTGGACATCTAACTACTGTTGATTAAGACAGACTCCTATCAAAAATTTCAGACTTCGGACAGTTCAAGACTTTCCTAATCTAGGCCCCTGGAATAGTGGAAGCAACACTGGAGAAACTGGTATTGAATCCACTTTTGCAGTGCTGTTTTGGGCATCCTTCGGCAAACCTCTTCACTAATGATTTTGGCTTCAGCTGCCTCAAAATGAAATGGCTTGATGTTAGGACATCTCCCAAATCTGTCTTTCTGGCCTCATTTCCAGAAGCTCCCTCTCAGCCCTATCCACGTGCACTCAGCCCTACTTCTAAGCCCTTATCCTTGCTGTTCTATCTCTTAAACCTATTTAGTATATTCAGACGCACCCTTTTTCAGACCCAACCTGGCATCTTTGGAAAATATAGATTCTCCAGCCCCCCTGCCTTGCCCTAGCTAAGGAATGATATGCCTTGAATGGATACATCTTCAAAAGACTTTTCCTGAACCCTGGATTTACTTAACTTCTTCCTCTGAGCCAACACGTTGATTTAAGTCAACTTCAGTGTCCACTCATTCATCCAAATGAATATCAAAATGTGAGCACCTGCTGTTTGCCAAGCATTTGTTTTATAACAAAATAGTATTCTCACCCTATCTTGTAATGGAGATTGACAATGGAGTTCTGAGACATGATTTCAGTGATACAAGGCAGGACCCCTTTCCCCTCAAAATGTATGTTATCTATCTATCCAGTTTCATCTAAAATTTCAATTGCTTCAAGTAGGGCAATGGGCCACTGATTTGCTTAATCAGTCATTTACAATTTAGTCTAAATGATTTTATTATATCATTTTCTATGAGCTGGCCTTGATAGAGAAGTACCAGGCCACACTATCCAGACCTGAGTCAGTGCTTTCACACCTACCCTTTCAAAACATTAGTCTTCTTCCCAAATTTTCCTAGGCAGGCTACAATGAAGACTTCCTATTAGAAGGATATTTTTGTTTAAATTTAAAATCTAACAATTAAGCACTTTTCTCTGTGGTCTCCAATTCAGCACCTTATTAGAAACTTTAAAACTAAAATTCGTTAAGGGTACAAAGAAATAAATCTTTTTAAAGGTACAATTTAAAGCACTCACACATTAGAAAGAGAGATATTTAGGCATTAACTGGGTATTGTCTGTGCCCATTCAAGTACTATCATGCAACAACTATCTGCTTTATAAAGCTGGTTCTTGAGAAGAAGTAATACCTGGGAACTTGATTTTTCGACAGATTGGACAAAGGATGTTTGAGCCACCAAATCAAACCATCTACTGTACAAGTTTGTCAAGATTCAGTTTTGAGGGACGCATGGGTGGCCCAGTCAGTTAAGCGTCTGCCTTGGACTCAGGTCATGATCCCAGGGTCCTGGAATTGAGTCTTGCATGGGGCTCCTTGCTCAGTGGGGAGCCTGCTTCTCCCTCTGCCTGCCACTCCCCCTGCTTGTGTGTGCACCCTCTCTCTCTCTCTCTGACAAATAAATAAATAAATAATTTTTTTTAAAAAAATTTAAAAAAAAGATTCAATTCTGAGAACAACCAACTGGTTATTATAGAAGTTTGCTCAGGGCGCCTGGGTGGCTCAGTCATTAAGCGTCTGCCTTTGGTTCATGTTGTGATCCCAGGGTCCTGGAATTGAGCCCCGCATCGGGCTCCCGGCTCAGCGGGAAGCCTGTTTCTCCCTCTCCTGCTCCCCCTGCTTGTGTTCCCTCTCTCGCTGTCTCTCTCTGTCAAATAAATAAATAAAATCTTTTAAAAAAAGAAATTCGCTCATTTTCTCATTACACCGGCTTTGGGGGGCACCCACTGTGGTGCCAGAATTTGCTTTAGATATAAGGACACAACAGGGAATAAAACAGGCAAGATAAGATCCCTGTCATCTCAGAGCTCACGCTATAATAAAGACAGGTAAAAAACAAATAAATTTATGACTTCAGACAGGGAAAAGTTCTGTGCAGAACATTGAGCAACTTAGGTGGAAAGGGTTACATGTGTGCTTGAGTGAGTGAGTGAGTGAGTGAGTGTGTGTTTGGGGATAGAGAGCAGACCAGTATAGATGGAGTGATCAGAAGGGCCCATTACTGGGAGCGTCTAGGAGATGAGTCGAGAAATGTAGGCTTGGGACAAATCAAGAAGATGATGTCATGCTAAAGAACTTGGTACTTTTTTCAAAGAATAGTTAGTGGCCACTGCCTCGGTGAGAGAACATGATGGCCTAAGCTTGTGTCTTCGAAGTAAGATACACATCCGTATCATCATACTGCAAAATGCACTGGAGGGAAGGAATAAAATATTAATACTTCTATTTATATTTATTTCATCTTTTTTAGTTCTATTTTTGTGCATGTTTCTTAACGTACATAGGGTATCTCATATTCATATGCATTTGATTTGCAAACAAATATTGGGATGCATGCTTGATTTTTTACAGATATTAATGGCAAGTGATCAAATGACTTTGTGGACCATTGGCCTAGTTGAAGGCAGGAGCGGAGGGTGAGAGAGAAAAGGACAGATATGGGACAGGACTAGGTGACTGATTGAATGTAAGGGGAGAGACATCCAATCTGTGGCCTGGAGATCACAACACCATAACCAGGATGCCTGTCAACTGACCTGTAGAAAGACAGGGACCACCAAGAGAAAAGACATGGTCATATAAAAAGAAGAAGGATTTTCTGAGGAAGAGCCTGTGGCAACAAGTCTGACTCCCTTTGTTCCTCCACATGTGAAATCCCATATGATGCACATAGGCACTGAATGCTAGAATCTATGCAATGTGGGGGATTTCTGAAAGAATGATCGTGGTCATTAAAGAAAATCAATATTGTTCAAATCTGTATACTGCATCAGTTGTAATTTGGTTTAACTGTCTCTTCTATCTCAGAATGATTCCTTTCTGCACTGCAGAATAGCATACAGAACTGCAAAGAGGGGTGCCTGGGTGGCTTAGTTGGTTAAGCGTCCGACTCTCCATCTCAGCTCAGGTCTTGATCTTGGGTCATGAGTTCAAACCCTACGTTGGACTCCACGTTGGGTGTGGAGCCTACTTAAAAAAAAAAACTGCAAAGAATTTGGCCAAATTGCCCATCCACAAGGCTACCCAGCTTTCCCTTCATTCAAGGGGTTCAGAATCTGTGCACTGACTCAGATCTGGGAATTAAGGAGGGGCTATGGCTTTCATGGTGATACAATCCAAGTTTTGTTTTCATTTTTGTTTTTTTGTTATACTCAGGGTTGTGCTGGTGGCACAGATCAAGTAGAACCTTAATGTATTGTTCGTCTATTTCTAGCCTAGGCACTCAACATCAGTTACCCCTACCCAAGATCTCTGTGGGTCAACCCATTCTGATGCTCACTCTGTCCTTGTTGCCTATTATAGTTATCATACTTACATTGCCTCTGGTCAATTAAGTACTCCTATTTGGCTTTTGTGTCTTGGACATCACTACAACCCCATGGAGAGATCACTGAGTCGATTCTAATGGAACGTCTCCCATCTCCATCCCTGCATTGCAGAAATCAGCCAATGAAGCACCTTTCAAGGGTGGTGGTGCCCCTTTCATCAGTGTATTTCTTGGTAAAGGGCAGGTACTCTAGTCCTCTCAGGGGACATAATTAGGAGGTAGATGAGCAGGTTACATGAGAGAAATCCATTCCAACATTCTTATCTCCCTATGTCTTTGCATTACTTCTACATTAAGCCAAAGAAAATCTGTATCTCTACTTCTGGCATCAAGGGTCATGGTTGAGATCAAGTTTCCATAAGCCTACTAAACAAACAAGTCCCAGCTGTTCACACCAGCACATCGAATCCAAATATCAAAGCATTCAGCTCTCTCCAAAATTACATTCCTCTTTTGCTGGGCCAGCATCCTCAGTGGGGAAATAAAAATTCCCACACTTGGGGCGCCTGGGTGGCTCAGTCAGTTAACTGTCTGCCCTTGGCTCAGGTCATGATCCCAGGGTCCTGGGATCGAGCCCCATGTATCCAGCAGGGACTCTGCTTCTTCTTCCCCCTCTACCCCTCCTTTCTCCCCACTCCGCCCCCTGGCTCATGCTCTCTCTCTCTCTCTCTCAAATAAATAAAGCCTTTTAAAAAAATTCCCACACTTGCTTTCTGGAATTTTGCAAATATAAATTAACAAAATACTGTGATTTGTTTGCTCTTTTCAAGTTCTGGATTTGATTTTGCATCTTGTCCTCTGGATGCACTGACAGTGAATGTAGTTAAGGATCCAGAAGCAATGAGAAGTGGTAGGTGGTTCACAGGGAGAACTGGCATCCTCTTGCAAAGGGTCTGCCTCAGATGAGGTCATCCTAGAAACTTGAAGCAAATCAGGACCATCTTAGAGAGAGGAAGGGGGCTGGAGATTGCGGGATCATGGTACTTAAGTTTTCCCAAATCTCACTGCCTCAACTCTAAATGCCTCACTCTTGGTCTAAATGTTCTAAAGTCACGTAAGAGGCCTGCAAGCCTGCAAATTAAACCTATGTTGAAAGTCAGCCACCTGCAGGGCCATTACTGTGGCTCATTTTGTGCTCTTTTGGCTTAGTGGCTATGAGAGGCC